ACTGCTGCAGTCAGGTTGACTTAATCCTTTATCTGGAAGAAGCTGCTGGACACAGATGGTCAAGGCTGACTGACCCCAGCAGGCTGTTTGATAGGCAGCGTTCGTGTGCATAGTCACAAACCACTAAATGACGTTTTTCTATAAAGTGTCTTTAGTTTGCTATTCTGTAACTTTTCCCTTGGACTATAACATTAGCTGCCCGGGAGGTGGACCATCAGGGAGTATGGCTGCTGCTGGCTGCCATGGAGCTGTTCTCATGTCCTGAATACTTTCCCCTCTACATTTTCTCCTGTTCTTGTTACTGGGAGTTGGCCTTCACAGGCAAACCCTTGGAAAAAAGTTAGGGGTGCATAGTTGCAGACTGGAGGAGGAAAGGGATCCAGAAGGAAGGTGACAGCAGCTGGAAGTTCAGATGCAGGCATGAGATGAGTTGAAATAATCTTCTCCCTAATTAATTTGTTAATTTTCTATAATTTGTCAAATGTATTCTATCGTATAGGGTAAATAACAGGAAAACGGAAGTCTGTCCATGTTCAGTACAGATGAATATTTATTTCCTGAATATTTTCAGTCCACAAATACAAAGTCTATAGATGTTTAAGGCTCATTGTATTTTCTAAATTCAGAGGTGTGTGCTTTACATTTTACGAGATACTGTGTGATACCAGCACACATGATGGATGATCTCCAACTTTAGTTTCCTGTATTCTGGGCCATTTTGTCACATTGCAGATGGGCCTTGCGGGGAAGATGGGTTGTCATGCAGAGAATGTGGAAAAATTAGAAAATACCTAGGACATCCTTTTAGTGCCTCCCCAATCCTGCTGTTTATCTTGGCCCAGGCTCACCTCACTGTTAGAAAATATAGCTTCCCACCACTTAACCGTAGGGAGTCATGGCTGTCAAACTGATAACAATTGTTCCTTTTTTTTTTTTTTTTTTGTCTTTTTCATTTTTATCAGTACCAGGGATTGAACTCACGACTGCCTGCTTGCAAGGCAGGCGCTTATGCCGCTGAGCTAAATCCCCAGCCCCAACAATTGTTCTTTTAATCCAATGAACACAGATTCCTTTCTTTCCTGGAACACAGATACTAGAGACAGAGCATTATTTTGTACCCTTTGTACCTTTTATGTGTATCTCGAGTTAATCACCAGGTCAACTTTAGAAGTGCACCTTAGGTCACTTTATTATTTGACAGGTGCAATAGAGTGTGGTTGTAGTCCTGGCTACTTGGGAGACTGTGGCAGAAGGGTTTCCTAATCCCTGAGCAACAGCAATACTCTTTCTCAAAGCAAAACAAAAGCAATTCATTGTAACAAGCCATGTTGTAGCTATGATTAAAAGGTGGCATGATGCTAGGATTACAATTATATGGGAAAATGAAGGGCCACAAGTTATGTGGAAAGGCAAAACATGAGGGGCAGCTTTGCTGGCTACTGTCCCAACACATGAGCATGAGAACTCACTTAGAAAGGCACGGATCCATTCATGAGGCTCCAGCCCAGTGACCCAGACACCTTCTGCTAGGCCCTACATTCCAACACTGCAGCACTGAGGAGTCATAGTTTGGGGGACACAACAGCAGGCTGCAAGCTAGTTTTAGGGGTGACAGATATTTCTGGAAAAGATGGTCATGCTTAGCATGGGAGAGATTCCAGGGCTTCTGTTTAAGAGGCCAGGAGTCTCATATAGAGGAGTGGGGAGTCCAGTGTGGGGTTTTAGTTGCTGGGGTAGAAAGTGGGGAACATTTGGGATGGAGGGTACAAAGGGCTATCTAAATTTATATGTTGATCCCCTACCTTGTAGTAGTTCATAGTGTGACTATACTGGAGGTGTAGCTAACTAGTGTAAAATGACAGTTAAGTGGATCCTAATCCAGTGGGTCTAGAGTCCTCATAAGAAATTTGGGGGACATATAGGATGGGCATATAGGCTGTTTCCAAGATGTAGTTATTATAAATTGTGCTGCTATATACTTGGATATTCATGTATTACTCTAACACAGTGTCTGTAACTTCTTTGTGAAGATGCCTAGAAAGAAAATAGCTGGGTCAAATGGAATTTCTATTTTAGTTTTTTGAGGAAACACCATACTAATGCCCATAGTGGCTGTACTAGTTTACATTTCCACCAGCAGTGTAGATGGGTTCCAATTCTAGCCTGTGTGAAGAAGTCACTTTCAGAGTAAAAACCTTACTTTGCTTTTGCACTTCACAATAGCTGGAAGGACAGGTAGGGTAAGGCAGGAAAAAAATAGGGTATGTTATGTACATATGCCAATACATGCCATATGTATGTGTCCCCACAATCATATCCTACAAACATTTACTGATAAAGAATAAAATTTGAAAAAGAAAAATAACTGGGCTTTTCTTGGGTTTAGCCCTACTGGTAAGATCTGTCGTTTCTCCTTGGATCTGCTGGCCTTCTGGGCTTACTTTCTGTGCCCTGCATTGGCCTCATTCACCATCATATTGGATGCCACTTCTGTTGCTTCATGCTGAAGGGAAATGAAACCCAGAGCCAGGTCAGGATTGGCAGGTGGCCCATGCATGGCTCCATTGAGCACATGTAGGGTGCAGATCCATCTGGTCCATGAGGTGTGGGGGCATGGCTTTGCCTGCTTATTTCATTTAATATAAAAATATCCACATATAATGTCACAAATGACAGACTTTTCAATTTTGTAATTGCATGGTATTCCATTGCATGTGTCTATCACTGTTCCTTTATACATTGGTCAGGTATGATTAAGTCTGTATCTTTGCTATTGTGGTTATACTGCAGGAGACAAGAGAGCACAGGTACTTTGGAATATCCTGCTTCATGTCCTTTGGACGTACACCTGGGAGTTGGATTACTGAATTGTCGGGGACTTCTGGTTTTAGTTTCATGAAAATTCTCCCTACTGTTTCCCATAAAGCTTATCATTCTTGAGCAAATGGAAGGATTTCTTGATGCCCCATGGAGCAAAGAGTGAAGACTGAATTGGTTTGAACCATATGGCTTGTCAGGACAACTTGAGCAGATGGCCAGGGATCTCCCACAGCCCACGGCATGTCTTGGCGCCTTCCTGCTCTTTCATATCAGACTCTTAAGTGCATTACCTTTTGGGCCTCAGCCAGTGCCAGGCAGGGGGCAGGGTTACCCGTTTTGGTGTTCTATGTCTGCATGAAAATTATCCTCAGCAGCTCCCATTGTGACTGGTATTTTGGTCCACTGTTTGCTTGAAAATATCAGTTAAGCGCATACTATGTGCCTAGAAATCTGCCAGGTATAGTGTTAAAGCTCAGGAAAACAGGTATTTCTTTTCTTTTCCCACTCAGGTTAATGGCAAACACATACTAGGTTGGAGACAAGGTAAACATGTAATTAGGGTGGAGCTCTGATAGATAAATAACTCATATATCATCTGAGACCATAGTCTCCTGTTGACAATCAGCCCTTTGTAAATACTCTGTGGGTTCTGGGTAAGAATGAGCTGATCTCTCCTGCGTATAAGTAGTCCATGTGACTGCTCCTGGGTACCTGTCTAGAAGGAGTGCTGCTCTTCATAATGGTAGGTAACTTGGTTGGGGGCACTGCTCAGGTGTAGAGCATATGTCTCACATTATCAGCTAAGTGATTTTATATACAGAAACAAGGAAGGAAAGAGAGAGAATATGTACTCATTACTGTAACAGGCTGTGTTGTCTTTTACTTCAGAATACCACTTAAAGATCAGTGCAACCTAAATTTCAGTGTAGTGAGTATTACTTGCAATTCAGTGTGAACAGTATAGTGAAAGTCTGGGAGTTTCAAAAACTCTTTAAAACATTTTGTACTATTTCTGTTTTCTAGAACTAAATAGTTACACTCCTTCCAGTTATTTCTTCATGTTGGATTCTGTGAGGTTTTGTATGTGTCCCTAATCGTGGGACCTGTGGTGAGGGATTTGTATAGTTTAGTATAATTTCAGAGCTTCAATTTATTTGTTATTTTACAAAGAGGAAACCAAGAGTGGGGAGAGAATTAGGCTGTGACAGTCATTACCTCAGGCCTGGGAAGCTGAGGTGAGAACCTAAACATCCTTCTCAACGAAGTCTGGAGAGACACTGACACTGATTTAATTTGCTTGCAGTGAGAATGGTGCAGTAGGCTTTTGAAGGCTACATGGGTCAGTATTTTTTTCAAGGTCATTTTAATGTGAGAAGAATTTGGGAGGTGAACCACTGGGCCCTTTTGCTATATACTGCTGGAGAAGAATCTTGCTTCTAAATCTACAGCATGAAGAGCTCCTTTCTGTTTTAAATTCAGGGTAAATTAGTAAAAAAAAAAAAAAAACACCAAACTCTCCTTGGCTTGAACTAATTACAAGAATGGCATGGGCTGCTCTTAGATTTGCAAAAATTAGGGGATGGAAGTAGTCATTGGGGTCCCTTGGACTCCTTCTGCTGTATGACCACCATGACATCAGCACTTTTTCTCTTCATCTGGCCCTTTTATTATGCGACTGACCCTGAAGGATGAAACTGCTACAAATTTTGAGCCCAAATAAGACTCTTCTCCTTTAAGTTGTGGGTGTTGGGTACGGTGTCTCAGTGATAAGGACAGTGAATAAGACATTGCTGTAACCTGTTTTTCTAGTCACAGGTCCTGCCAGCCTCCCATGTCTCTGTTTTTATTGTTTTCAAAACTTTTCTTTGCTGTCCTAATTCTTTAACATTCTATGAGTTTCAACAGCTGAAACATCTTCTGATCCTTGAGGGTTTCCCAACCTCTCTGTAATGAGAAAGAACACTGTCACTGCAGCTGTGAGATTCTTGACACACAAATTCTTCAGTCCATTGTTCATTCAGTGATTCTGGAATCTGTTTGCCTTTCTGGGTTACCTAAGAGAAGAAGTTCAACATTCATTACCACTTCCCAGAGCCCTATGTGGAGACTTGTGTGTGACCTGTAGTCCAGGTGGACGCTGATTCCACTCATTCTCCACCATGTCTTTCCTTACATTTCAGAAAGCTCTCCTGGGAAGCCTCCTGCTCTTGGCTACCTTTGTGATACCATGCAGTGCCCAGTGCTATTTCATACCCCTGGAGAGAAGTCTAGATGGCTCTCCAGATGGTAAGTTGATTTCCAATTGTTGATCAAGTTACTGTAGCCGGTAAATAGGGTCGGGCAGCAAGTGAAATATTTTGAGTCTACGCAGGAAGATGAGTGAGAGAAGATACAGAAATTGTGTCAAGTAAGGGTACTCAACTTGGCTTGCCGATAAAACAGTTGTTTTCAAGTTTATCTGGCTGAGAGTTTCCTAGAGATTTATTGAAATTTATCAATGCTCAGAATTCATCTAAGACTCAGTAAGAATCTCTATGGTCAGAGAAGCACATTCGAAAGCTCATTGATTAATTTCCATTACCATTCAGGATTGAGAAGCATTGCTGAGTTGAAAGAGGTGTCAGACTGTGATGTTGATGTGTAGCCCAAGTGCTGATTCAGGTGACCTGAAGGCAGGTGTGACACTTGCCTGTCTAGGGCAGCACAGGGGATGTTAGAGTAGGGGTCCTGCAAGGACATGGAGGCGCAAGTCTCAGAAGTGGTTCTCAACCTTGATTAAACATTGGGATTTCTGGGTGAGTGTTCTGAAGTGCTGGCCTCATGAGCCCACTCCTGGAGATTTTGATTTCTATGTTTCCCAAGATGTTCACAGGTACACACAAAGTGACAACAAATGTAAAAAAAATCAAAGTGAAGAAGTACAGAAGTGAGTCTTTTATTTAGAATTCCTCAACAAAGTGAAAGCAGGATTCCAATGCGATTAAAGATGAGTACCTTAATTATTTTTGAAATGTCTGCTTTGAAATAAAGTGTAGAAGGATTTGAGTTTTTTTCATAAATGTTACCAGTTTCATGGACCTTGCAGTACTGAAATGTAGCTGGTGGTGAACAGAGAAGTGCTATAATATATACCTTAGAGACCATCTCATCTCATGGAAGGGTAGACCTCAGTGTCCTAACGGCTATGTTCCTGTTGCACCAATAGTGCCTTGTGGATTTTTTTCAGAATGCAAAGATTCTGATGGAACCACACACTTAATGAACTCAAAATGGATGACGAACAACTGTGTGGAATGTACTTGCGGTACAGATGGAATTTCCTGCTGCAATATGTGAGTCTCAACCCAGCAGTGGCCAAGGGGGCACCTAGCTGTGTCTAAAGAGCAGCTTCTCTGTCATTCAAAATCCCATCATTGGTGTTTCTAACAGACTGTAATTTTGTAGGGCAGGCTTAGACTCACAGTAAATGGAGCAGAGACACAGCTCTCTCACCGATGTCCTTTGCCCTATATGTCCAGTATGCTGATGGTCAGTATATCAGAAAAAGTTCCAAGAGCTTCTCTTGAGAGTCTGGATCCACACATGATCATCACTCAGACTCCACAGAGTCTACATGAGGGCTCACTCGATGTGGTGGGAGATTGGAGTTTTCAGTCCTGTACCTTGCAGAGCTCAAGTGGTTCGGTTCTACCCAAGTTTTATTTCCCTTTAGCTGTTCATTATGTTTATTTGGAGATACCCATATGCACATAGGTTTCTAAGGACAGGAAACTATTTAATATATTCTTTTCTAAAATTAATTGTGAATGGTCACCATTACTTTGGCCTTAGAAGTATCCAGAATAGGATACTTTGTGAGCAAAGGTAAAGACAGTATGGGAGGCATCAGTGATGACCTGGGAGAGGTGTTCAGAGCAGCCTTTTAGGCGTGGCAGTGACTAATGCTACCTGTTACAGCTCCATGTTGTTTTCATGGTCCTGCCCTTGACCTTGTCTTTGTAATAATTGACCCTGGACTCTGCAATGAGGTCTTGTCTTGGCAATTATACATGTATCAGACACATGGAAAAGGTTTAGGTGTCCTTAAATAATTACTATTTTATTTTAAATTATTTTTTTCCACTGGAGTAAAATATACAGTACATAAAAATTTCAAAGCAGTCATGAAGTTTAAAATGCACTGGCATTGAATAACATTCACATTATTGTTTAATCATCATCACTATTTTAAAAAATTACAGTATTTTTTTTCTTTTTAAAAAACAGTACATTGGATAAAACCCAGGGTTTTCTCTATGCTGCCCTTGAAGTATTTTGATCCTTCTGGCTTACCATCCTAATAGCTAATGGTACAGGTATCCAGAGCATCCCACAATTCTTGGCTTTTTCCAAGAGTTTTTATTGAGGTCAAACCCAAAATGTGCCCTTTAAGTTGCAATTTCCATTCCTCTTTCCTGCCCTCTGCATTCTTTGATTTGCCTTCTGTCTGATTGATTACCCCTCTTGTAGATTGTGACAGTGGAAAGCACGATGCTTGTGTGCTGTGTCGACATTTCTCTTAGTGGCTGCTTGAGGTTCAGCTTCATTATTGTGTATTAGGATTTCCTTCCTTCACACAACACCAATAGCCCAGGATGCTGTCAACTGACCCTTGTCTTCTGCCTTTGCCTGTGGAGGGATTGGGGAAGAATGCACTTTGTTTACAGTGAATCTGTGCTGGGAATATACAAGTGTGTTTGAGCTCTGGGGCACGAAGTTTCTGGGGGCTCCCCATTGGCTGTAGAATTGCTGTGCCATATACAACTAAATATTAACCTTGGGGAGTTCCTGAGTGTTATCCTTTGTGGGTGCACTATGTTTTTTTCCCAAACGAAGTGAACCATGTCTGAATTTGAAAAGATTTAAAACAACATTTTCGAATATATGTGAAGAAAACATATTAATTGTAGAACCATGGAAGTATAAAATCCTCGAGCTTATTGCCGACTGTCTACAAGTAGTAATCAGGAGTATTTTATCATAACTTCTTTGTATTTTATGTGCCCTGTTGTATAATGCATATGAAACGTCATGGTGTCTTTTTGTTGTCAATTTGTCAGATTGAAATCTTAGCACAGTCACTATTCCATTCCAAAATGACTCTTCAGAATGTTTTGCAATGCAGCTTAACCAGTTCTCAGTCTTATTTAAACCAGGACCTTAGAGTCCATGGCATGAGTCACAGAATGCATCCATTCACAGAATGACACCCACAGGGCTCTGTGGTCCCCTTGGTCATTGCCCAGTATGCTGGGCATCATGGGCACACACCTGCCTTCCTTTTTAGTGCATCACCAATGAATTCAAGTCCCAATTTCCAGGGCCTCAAAAGCACTGAGGTGCCACATTTCCTAGGGTGATGGGAAAAAGATAAAACACCTTTTTTTGGGCTAAATCTGAAGTACAACATCACTGAATGAAAGTAAACATTGCCCCAAGATGCTGCTCTCCACTTGGGAAAGTTTGCATCCAAGACCATCGAATGGACTTCAAAGCGTTATGGGTACTAAACTCTTTACATCACAGTTCACAGTGCACAGTGCATTTTACAAGAAGGAGGCCCTAGATGGGTCATCATGTCGCTGAGATCCATGACCCTTGCTGGGATGGCTCCTTGCTTTTGTTGGTAACAGGAAGCCATACTGGCCTGCAAAAGTTCTCTCGGGTGCAGCAGTACAGGTCACTACCTGCATAGGGAGGGGTAGAAGGGCCAGGCTGGAAAGTGTCTCCTGGCAAAGTTGTGGCAGACCTGCCCCAGGCCTATCTGAAAGTCCGTGACCTTCTGTGCGTGCATAGAGGAACATGGGACCCACAGGAGTGCTGATCTGTGTGACTCTATGGTACAAAGTGGTCCATGTTTCTGAGGATCCACCTGGGGGCTGCCACCCAAGATGTGTCATAGATTAGTAAAGGCCAATCCAACCAACAGGAGTGTGAGCTGCTTTGCATACAGAACTGGAGTATAGCAGGCTGGCCTGGCTGGTGTCCTTGTCCTTCTAACTGGCTGTATTCTTCTCTCCATGACAGAGTTTCTATACCTGTGGAATATGACAAAGACAAGTGCCAGTCCTATTTCCACAAGGAGAATTGTACCTACATTGTGGTGGAGCGTGAGAACCCAGGAAAGCCCTGTAATGTGGATGTCTGGATACAGTAACACCTTCTCTGAGTCTGGTGTGCCCCTGCCAGGCCTCCTTCTGTGTTCCCTCATAATCTGTAATTCTACAGCCCTCCCTAGCATAAAATCATAAATAATTCTTGAGCAAATCCTGGAGCACCTGTATTCTTTGAATTTACTAATTACATTTGCAGTGAGTGAATGCTGGTTGTAAAGCACACAGGTATTTGATAGAAGAGACAAAAATAAATATAGGGACTATCACAGCGTGTTTGGGGAGGTCCTCATGTGCACCTCCCCAAGGGATCATGGGAACCTCTGCCTCTTCTCACACATGAGCCTTCAGCTGCCTGTTTCCTGAGTCTTGGTGAATAAAATAAAAATAAAAGTCTTCAGGTTGAAACAAGACCCCTCCTTAGTTTGCAGTGGTTGTGTCCGTACTTCTTTTTCTCTTACAGTGTCTTGTCTTCTCTGTGCCCCGTCCCTCTGCATTTGCTTAAGGTCAGAACCATATGGGACAAGACAGGCTGAATGTGTACCTAAGGAAGGCCCTGTAGCCCCAACCCTTATGAGGAATCAAGGTTAGGGCTGTGGCTGCGGGGGTCCTGACACAGACCCAGGCTTCCTGGTATCTCTGAGCACTGATCCCCCATCACAGAGTAACTTCAAACAGAGATGAGCTGCATTTTCTTTACAGTGTTGGTGTCAGGCACTGTGTGCTCCCTCTACTGTGCGGTGAGTGTCTGAGCCAGCAAGGAAACTGGGTCTGGGATCTGCTGGTGAATTGAGAGCTCAGGCCCCTCCTACCTGAGGGTCTAGAGCAGCTGTGTGTACCTTACAGATCTCAGATGAGCAATCCCAGGGCACTGGATGCAGCGCTCTGTCCCCTACCCTGACCTTCTCTTTTCAAACTTGCTGTTTGAACATTAGCAGCCTAGACTGGCTCCTTGCCTTTTATAGTTGATCTTGATAATAAGGACATGCTCTGTTTAATTTTAGTGCCACAAAGTCTCATTTCAAAGTTCTCATCTAGTTGAAGAAGAATTAGGACACAACATATCCCTGGCTCCCTCTGCTTGAAGAGATGATTGTATCTTTTCCCCTGGGGTTTTGGTGGCTTCTGGGAATTCATTTTGGTCCTCTTTGTCCTGGTCTTCCTTCCTGTTACAAGCACTGACTTTCCTTGTAGTGTCAGCATCTGATCTTAAGTTTCCCATACTTTTATGTTGAAATGGCTTTCCCAACTCTGTTACTCAATAATGCTATAGCATTAACAGTATTCACTATAGAAATTTGTCACTTCCTCACCTTCCTCTTCCTCCTGGTGCCTCCTCCTCAGGAAGGAGCTAAGGTTTCCTGCTGCAGTTTACAAGAACCAACTCAATGCTCAGCCTTGCTTTTGAAAATGGACTCTTCTAGCCCATGGTGGGTAAAATAGCTTTAAAAAGCTTTGGGCATTAATTATTGAGTTCTAAGATGAATACCAGGCTAGAAGATGCCACAGATAGGAGGAGTGAAAGGTGACTGTTCCATTGAGTCACCGAAGCAGAATCCTGCTTGGAATACCATGCCCTGTCCCTTACTCTGCCCTCTATAGACACCAGGACAGGGATCAGGGAATGGAACCCTGGACAAATGACAGATCTACCAGCCAGGGAAGGGAAGATCTGCTAACTTCCTGTGAGGCCTGTGAAAATGAGGGTGACTTTTGGAAGCACCACATCACAAATCATGGGGACAATAACAGTCGGAGATGGAGGCGGTACCAGTACTCTTTCCTATTGTACATCTAACAGGACAATGACACCGAATAGGGCCCTTTGGACTAACAAAGACCATGAGTTGTACAAGGGCCTTGCAGTAAGGAACAATAAATCAGATCAGGTTGAAGAGTACTGTTGAAAGCACATCCAGATGTGCTTTTGTGTTCTATACAAACTACATCCCCTCCTCCTCTCTTCTCCTGGATCTCACCTGGATCCAGAAACACAAGGGAAAATATATGACACTGCAGGCTTCCTGACTGACAGCTGGTGGCCAGCCTGGTGTGGCAGTGATTGAACTATGCTTATTGCTCAACCTGAGGAATGCAATCCTCATTAAAAAGAAATAAAATACCTATCATCAGAATCTTAGTGCGACAAAAGAAGTCAAACATCAATTTCACAAGGTCAGATGTTTCTTGAGAATATCACTGTCGAATTCAGGGAGCTCAGTAGTTCCAGGATACTTTTTGGCACAAATGCACCAGACTGTAAACAGATCTCTGGCATTTCAGATTCAAGTGTTTTCCTTCAAAGCACTAATCAGAGTAGAAGTGGCTCAATGCATTTATGATGCCGAGGGCTCTGTGCCTGTGATGTGTCCCACTGTTACAAATGGCTTCCTTTGGACTCTGCTCTTTCCCTGGAAACAAGATTTCTATTCCATTCTCCTTAGAGCCTCTGCTATATCCCGTGGCAGAAAGAAGAAAATGTGTGTTATGTTGGTATGTCAGACATAAGTGGGAGTATGCACTGAACAGGATGTGGTTCACTGACCGGTGGCTTCTGTCCTTCAGACTTCTGGAAAGTGGCAAAAGTGTCATTATGCCTGGCATAGACTAACCCTGAATTCTGGCAGCTGGCTTAACTTCAGCCTTGATACCTGAGCCCAAAACATTACCTTTTGCCTAAGCATACTTGTGTTTGATTTCTAGATAGACATAATTGGGACACATGTAGAGATGGCTTGTACCCCATAATATTGGAAGAAGCAAACTCTATCGTTACGTCTGCCAGGGTGGTGGATCTGCAGAGAGGATTGCTCCTGCTGGCTGTTACTGAGCAGTCCGCATGCCCTGAGTGCTTTCTCTCCATGCCTTCATGTGGGAGGTGGCTTCACAGAGGGAGTAAGAGGTTGGGACTTTTGCCTCTGGGATGGTGAGTCAGGGGTCCAAGTACTCAGTGAGTTCTTTCCATTCATTTACCACGACATAGTGACCATGTCCCTTAGGGAGTTACACTGCAGACTGGGAAGAGAGAAGGGGCCCAGAAGAAAGGTGAAATGATAGCAGTTAGAGATCCACATGCAAAGGTGAGACTTCAGGTGAGATAACCTCCTGCCTAATTATTAACTCATTAAATGAGTTCTATGGTTAAGGGGCAGTAAGAGGAAAAGAAGTCTGCCCGTGCTCAGTGCAGATGCCATTTTTATCTTGTGTGTTTTTTAATCCTCAGGTGCAAAACCTATAGATACGAAAGAATGGTTGTACTTGATATATATTTTTTATAGGGAAAGAAAATGATAATATAAATAACAATAGAACAGAGTTTCAACACGGGATATAGCTCAATGGTATAAGTGCCTGACGGACAAGCACAAGTTTTGAATTAAGATTCCCAGTACAAAAACAAAAAAGCAAAAACAAAAGCAAAATAGGCTAGTAGGAGAGTAATAATAATACATTGCATATTGTTACCTTCATAGTAGCTACTCAGAGTATAAGATATAGGCATAAAATATTGTGCAAGCAATATTAGCTCAAACCTTTTTCAATGAACTAACAAACTGTGTAACCACCTTAACTACCTCATATATATATTTCCTTTTCCTTCCTTTCTCTTCCCCCCTTCACAATTTCTCTTTTCTTTTGAACAGTTTCTTCCCAATTGATACTATCTATTTTATATTTTGGATCTTATTTACTTGTTCAGTTTCTCACATTACTGAGACAACACGATGTTTATACATGTAGGTCTGATTTATTTTGCTTAGGAGTATGCTCTCAAATTGCATTCATTTGCCTATAAAAGTCTTCAGTTTATCCTTATTTATGGTTGAGTTGTACTCCATTGTAGAAAAATATTACATCTTTGTACTACATTTATCCATTCCTCTGTTGATGGGCATTTGGGTTGTTTCCAAGATTTGGCTATTATGAATTGGGCTGCTATAAACATGGGTGCACATATATCACTGTAGTATAATTTTTTTTTTTTTGGTACTGGAGATTGAACTCACCACCTCACACTTGCCAGGCAGGTGCTTATGCCACTGAGCTAAATCTCTGGCCCCTCACTGTGGTATAATGTTTTTAATTCTTCTGGGAAGATAGCCAGAAGAGGAATAGCTGTGTTAAATAGGAACTCTAATCCTAATTTTTTTCTGTTTTGCTTTTGCAAAACCCTTTAATTAAGGAATATAGAGGTATAGTGAGGTGATGTGACTTCATTCTAGTATTAGAGATAACCCTGGTATAAGGAATATCCACACTGACTTCCACAGTGGTTACACTAGTCTATACTCCTGCCAACAGTGGAAAAATGTTTCTTTTCCCCCATAGTCCTGCCAGAATTTGTTACTGGTTGATTTCTTGATGACAGCCATTCTTACTGGGGTGAGATGGAATCTCAGTGTTGTTTTAATTTTCATTTCTCAAATGATCAGTGATGTTGAACACTTTCTCAGCGTTTATTTGCTGTCATTTGTATTTCATGTGAGAAGTGTGTATTCATCTCAGATGCCCATTTTTGGATTGGACCTTTGAATTGTGGGGTCTGATATTTCTGTATATGTTCTAGATAGAAGTTCTTGGTCTGAGGAACAACAACTGGCTATAATTTTTTCCACTCTGTAGGCTGTCTTTTCACTCTGTTGTTGATTTCTTTTGTTGCACAAAACCTTTTTAGTAAGGTAAGATCTCATTTACTGATTTTTTTGTAATATTTTCTGTGTAGTCTGGAAAATGTACTTGATATTTTCAGAAGTAAAAAAAATTAAAAAAAGATTTTCAGAGGTAGACATTTCATATTTTATGAATATGAAACTGTCATCACACGAGACATGCCATCATACCTAGTGGTTAATGATCTCTAACTTATCTTTCTTGTTGTCTTCTCCTTCTCACATTGCTAGTAGCACTTGGAGGAAAGATGGGCAGCAGTTGCAACACACAGGAGTGTGGGCAAATTGGCAAGTCTCCAGGAGTTCCTGCTTGATGCATCCATGGTCTTTTGTGTTCATTTCAACCCAGGGTCCCCTCACTGTCAGAAAATACAGCTTCCCACCACTTAGCTACAGAGATTCATGTTCCAAAGATTGACAGCAATCCAGTGAATAGAGATTTCTGTCTTCCCTGGAGCATCCATGCTATAGACAGAACATTATG